AATTGTACAGAAACAATTTTGCAGCAGAAAAGATTTTACTTTAAACTTAAATTTGTAAACCGACTTCAAATGTTTAATGTCATCTGGAAATGCGTTTTAAAGTAAAGTACATGTATTGCATGTGGATTTCTGGTAGTGAGCTGTTGATACTGACACTTGAATGTGATTTCTACGACATGTGTTGTAATCATAAATATCAGTATGCATGAAAATATGTTCCCGCCGTTAAGTAAGTCGGTTTTGACAAATATTACAGATTCGTAAATATATAGGCAAGGCAGTGGTAAGTTTCCAAGCTCAATGAAAAGAGGTTTGCAGGGATCACGCGGATGGCATTTGTTCATTATTCGAATAATTTTATTTTGCAATCTAAAGGTCTGAGTACTACATGATGAGTATCCCCAGAATATTATGCCATATCTCAGGTGGAAATGTACATTTGCAAAATACACGCAACAAGCTGCATGAAGGCTTACAGAATTTGATAGAATTTAATTTTGATGAATTTAATTTAGTGTTTAATTTTGTCATATGTACATTCCATTTGAGGTTTGACTGAAATGAGAGACCTAGAAATTTTAGTTACCTGAACATCAGCTAATTGCATATTATTCATTTTCAATGGAGCATGCGATTGCTGATTTAAAATGCAAAAATGCATTGAAACTGTTTTTCCTTCGTTAACTATTAATTTGTTATTACAAAACCAATTGAAACTTCTAAAACCGTACTATTTATTGTTTCTTTTTAGCAAAGAACATTCGTGTCATCGGCAAACAGAACCGTTCTTCCGCTTTTAATAGACGATGACATATCGTTTACCTGTAACAGAAAGAGGATAGGACCTAAGATCGAGCCTTGCGGGACCCTATATTCAATTGGTACAGAATTGGAAAGATAAGTAAATAATGTGCTTTCGTGCCAGACCGATATTTCTACTCTTTGAGATCGATGTTTAAGGTACGATGTTATCCAATCTTGAGCGATACCACGAATTCCATATGAAGGTAATTTTGATAGCAAGATGTTGTGGTCAATAACGTCAAACGCTTTCGAAAGATCTAAAAATATTCC